CAATACATCCTTAAACATCCTCGATTATGCCAGGACGAGATTGCACTAACTAGTCTTTGATGTAAGCATGCACGTAGTTTCAGACGCTACATATGTATTATCCGTCTCTATATACTGAATAATCGAAGCTCCTCTCTATTAATCGTTAATTTAAGATAAATCGAAGTGCACTAGCATGCTAAGTGCTCTTCGAGTACGAATATCGCATTGGGGAAATGCGAAGACGAGGGATTATAAGTTACTCACCTTGCTAATGGTTAAGGCGACTTCCTGATTAAGAGATCGTTGCACGTAACACGGAAACTGGTCGCGACCGGATCATGCACGCAGGATGCATCCATACGTGCATGCCAACGCGAATCAGAGCCGCTTTTAGCGCGCGCACGCGATAAACGAACGTGATTAGCGATAATTAATTAAGTAGTGTTCTAATCGTAATAAGTCTCCACAGTCTACATAATTTTTTTTAATTTGTAAACTGCGATGATCGTGAAAATGAAATTATTAATTTTATGAAAGGATATTTCATTTCAATTCTTTTCATAAAATGTAAACACGATAAACTAATCGTTTTGCAATTCGCAGCAAATGCACTCCTGAACGGTGTATATGTATATATTGCACCAGTTAATGGATGTTCAATCTACAGTAGTTTAGATCGATGGAATACAAGAGGCGGGAATAGATGTTTCGCTATTTACACGTTCTCCGCTTAGGCTCCCACGTAGAATCATGTTCGAGAAAGGTCGGCCAGGGTTCATTTGGTTAGGAGAAAGTAGCCTCGCGACCCGGTTTCCTTCCTCTTTGATTGAGTTTCGGCTGCTCGCGTCGGATGACCGGATTCGAATACAATCCTGCTTCGACTTCAGAGAGATCGTTGCACAGAAGAGCAGAGAATCGTAGGTATTTAGGACGGTATCGGGCTCGTGCGATTCCGCTTTGGTCATCTGAGTAGATGGTGGAAGCGCTTCCTCGAACAAAGCGAGCTTTCCAAGAAAGACTGCGATCTAGGATATTGTGTTTCCACTCACTTTTCTTATTGCTGCATAGAGTTTATATAAAGCGAACGGCGTATCTGGGTCTAGCTTCATTTATTAATTCTGGAAGTACATTTCTTGGTACCAAATGTATTTTCATGTAAAACAATAACTTTTAATATTGTTTCTCATTTGAGAAAGTGAAGCGATAAAATATTTGTAAATAAAAAGTTATTTTTTAATTCATCAAGGGAGTGTATAATATTATAAAGAAACAAATTAAACGATTCTTTGACTTTTAACTATAAACGAAATACGTAATTGATGGGTTGACGAAGAAACGTAGACGGAATTATTATTGCGAACGAATGTATTGCAATTCGTAAGGTACAAATAGTACAAAGGGTATAAGAGTACAAACATTGCGTAGGAACTAGAGTATGCGGACATAGAAAAAGTACAGTTTAGAGATGTGACATAGAAAGGGTGTTTTCCTTTTTTTTTTTTTATTACCCCCCAAATCCCAATGATTTTCGTGTTCGAAATTTTCGAATTGCGCACATCGTGGCTTCGCCGTCGCGCCACTTCTCGTTCTCGCGTTCCGACGTACAGACTCGTGCCGAGATCGTCCCTCGTCCATTGTCAATCTACGGAAATCGAACGGAAATTGAAAGTTCCTTTTAAGCGAATGAAGCTAGACATATTAGAAGAATGAAGGAGGAAATAAGACGAAGCTCGAATGGATCTCGACACGAGGCCCGATCAATAAACGTAACGTGTCGCGCGTAAATATCCTATATCTGATAATACAATAAATATTATATAATAGAACAACGCAATAATAAATATATTTATATTTGTATATATATGTGTATATATTATATATAATATAGGAAGAAACATGTCGACATGAACTAGCTCTAAAACATCGAGAGGATCCAATTTTTTTTTTTTCTTTCTTAAAAACCTTTCGCCGCTTCGCCCTTAATCGTCAATCATAATCCCTTATATTTACAGCCGCCTCGCAGTCGGAATTTACATCTTACAAAAGAGTCAACCATGCAGCTTTCGTCAATAATCAGCTGAATGCGATCGTCGAAATAAAAAGAAAAGCGTTTGCATCATTTTAAAGAACGCGTTAAAACTAGAAAGAATCTACCGAACGTTCTACGTTTCGTTCGCTCGCCCAATCTTCGCCGTTTTGTTCCCCGAAAAACGTACGTCCTCATACAATCAAAGTCCACAGCACACGCAAACAGTGGAAAACAATCACGCGCACTCTTACAGCAGAGCGAAGTTAGTATTGCACACCGATCGATCGTACACTCCTTGATCGGTCCTGACTCTCACTCGCAATCAATCTCTCACCAACGACTGTCCGTTTGGGCACGAAATTTATATAAACCACGCTCGCGTAGGAGATCGCCCGGTCTTCATTCATCAAATTTGTTCCTCAAACCCATTGGTACATCATTAATTAACTGAGAAGCTGGGACGCTCGACGGATTAAGGCTTAATGATATGATTTGCCGTTGTACTCTGTTCCTCCCTTTCGTCGCTTCCTACGTTTCTTCGAATCTAAGGGTGTCTACTTCATCTCTGTACTACTTTTAACCGTATCGATCGTTGGTTGTTTGGAAACGGTCACGAATGATGCATGTGTGTGTGTGTGTGTGTCTCGATCTTTAGAACCGATCTTTCTCTTTCGTTATTTTCGTGTTTTCACCCTACGACCGATATCTAAAATTTAGATTCGCGGTTAACAGACTGTGGACTTTTATGCGATGCGAATTTATTCAGAAAATGGAATACGAATGGACGATCTCGTTTTGCTTTATTAATTACTCAGATATATTCTGTGAATATAGAAAAACCCGCAGTGGTCGCGATCAATGTGTAACATCGTGATCGTTTGAAACGCCTAATCTCATCGCGATTAGACTGAACAAGCTCTTTGCATGCATGTTCGATTCCCGAGGCTACGTTTTCCTCGAAACGCCGACGATCAATCGATCGATCGTGGAACGTTTCCACGTGAGAAATCGAGAGAAACCGACATTCTCTTTCTATCAATATTACACGCGATGGGCGCATTACTGGACTTTTCGCGAGTTAACAAGTACTCCCGCGAGCCGAACTGTGAAACAATTTTTTTTAACCCGTTTCCCTCGACATTTTGTTACCTCGTGTTCATTTCGTTTATTATTTTCGAATTATCTACTTGGACGTGAGAGAGAGACGCTATGTTAAGTTGCAGTTTATTTTTTGTACTACGTGGAAGACGGATGTCCGTGAGAGTATTGAAGCATTGATCGAAGGACAGATCGATCAGGATTTGACTTCCGCGTCGACTGGCATCGGAAAATGGACCGTAATCGTCATCAATCTTAATCATATTGCTCTCTAAGGATTTCAGTCTTACGAACGTTTACGATCAAAGTAAAGCGAAACGATCTATCGTTCGTTTCTCGCGCCGTCACGCACTCTTCCTCCCACACCGGTTGATTAATAGAAAGGTCGCCCTTTATCGAAAGGAAATTATTATTGTTCCCTATTAAGAAAGAATCGAAGGAACAAACGTTGCTTCGACGTTTCTAAGCCGATCGAATCATCTAACGTTTAACCTGGTGCCGTAAAAATTGTGCGTCGTTCATCGTGCCTCCCTGAAACTTTCGCGGCGTCTGAGAAAAGGTTTCTGCGTTCGTCCGGTCTCGTGTCGCGGACGTATTTAGCTATATGTACATCGTGTATTTAGGATCCATTCATCGCGAGAGTGTTTCGGTGACAGGCCGTATGAGCCCAAAAGACTTCGCATTCGTGCAGTTCGGTTTACCCGCATTAAAATCTCGTCCTTAATCAAGCTAGAACAACGCATCGAATAATATGGTGCTCGGTGTGAATCGCTTCAGAAGCTCGATTCTGGATTTCGGGATCTATGAGGTGAAGGGTAAAGGATTATCAACCGCGGTTCCCAAGAGGTTCGGGGTTACATGAAGTAAACGGGATCGTTCTCCGCGATGGCGTCAAGTCTCGCCGGGAGGGTCTTCGGTCGCGGGGGAGCCGCGGTCTTTTCGACGACCTCACGGGACCCCTTGCGTCACATGTAAGTAGGCTTCACTTTGTACGCCCGTTTCCAAACCTCGCATAAGCACACGGTGCTGTGGAACCTGTAGAAGATCGCCAACGGCATCGAGACGTGAGTGATGATCGTCCACGCCCAGAGGCCGTAGAAATGAAGCTGCACCGGGTGCGATTCCGCTCGCGACTTCTCCAACGTGTTGATCGCCCACATCGCTAGATTGGTGACCAATAAGAAGGTGACGATCTCTCTGCCCGGTTTCCTTCTGATCTGCTTCGCGGTAGCGACCGACCGTCTGGACGCGTCGAGGATGAAGATCGTCTGACAGGTCGTCTGAACGACGCTGGCCAACGCCGTCACCAAAACCAGAACTGTGTGCTTGGCCAGCGTGAACTGTGCGCCGATTATCGTGAACGTCGAGTAGATGAACATTCCGGTTTGCGCAGCTACCAGGAGAATATTGTCTAGCTCTAAGTTTCTGGTTCCGTCGTAGCGGAGTTTACGCATCTGGAACATCCCTATCAGCGTGGCCATCGTCGACATACCGTAGAGGGTCAACTCGCAGATGTTCACTTCGGTCACGGCGAAGCTGACCAATTCTGGACGTGATATCAGCACGAAGAAGAGAATCAAAGAGATGATGGTTAGAACCAGGATCAGGATTCCCACGAAGAGACCTTTGTGGGCACGCGCGCAGTCCACGCTGTAGTGGTGAGGCGATCTTCTGTGGAGTTCAGTTCAACATTTTATTAAGCGAAACTCTTTCGTGGTTCAGAAAGAAGTATTCATTAAATAACTTACCTGTAAGCATGAGTGTGATGTCGGGATCCCGACGGCGTTTTGGGTGGCGTGAACGCTGCCTTCGATATATTCTTCCACATGACGTACAAAATCGCGGCACAGATCAAACTGTACTCGATCGTGCACGGGAATAGGAACGGGCTGGCATCCTGGACCAGCGATCCCATGATATTCGTTCTCCGGCATTCGTACATGTGATGCGGCCCTTTCAAACCTCTCGGCACCCTCAGGTGCTCGCCGTGGTGATAATGGTGGTGTCCTCCGAGATTGAGATTGCTCTTGGTACCTAATTTCATTTCGATTTCAATCACCCGTTTGATCGCTAGGTTTCATTCTATTGGAAGGTTCGCGTAATCGTAGATACTTGTAGATAAACAAGAAGAACGTGTCTTACCTAATCTATGGGATATCTTCAGCGAGTTGTTTTCCGGATTGTAGAACGACAGTATCTCGTGTTTCGTTTCTTGTACAAGTACGTTCAGCCACACGGAGAGATTCGTACCAATCATGTGCATCAGGCCGAAACGCGCGACCACGCGATGACGGTAAACTTTCATCTGCTATCCGCAGAAAGAAATCAATACCTCATGGATCATTTCGAGCATCTTAAGGTCGCTTTATTTAATCGTCAAGAGCGGTTCATTAAATTCTCGGAAATCATTTAACGAGAGTAATTCGATAATTGCAGCCTGAGCTATGAGTTCGCCGTACAAAGTGCACCGAGCGGTGGTGGTGGTGAACCGGGAATCTCGGACTGGGTGGAGAGCTTTAATCGAAAACGGTCGGGAGAGATATTCATCTGTCGTGGGTGGCAAAGGAAAGAGCAAAGCCAACCTCAACGGTCGACGCGACGGGGTGGACGGACTACTCGTGTTCCAGTATTAGTTTCAGGATTGTTCATCCTTCCGTTTCATTAACCTTTCTAGCCGAGAGCTTCTCGTTTTGCATCGACGCTTTCGCCCTTTCATTACGTGCCGCGCAACCGAACACCACCGCACCGACATGAACGCCACTGTTATTTTTAGCCCCTCTCACCTACTGAACGATTCCCGCCCCTCGCGAGTTTCAGTTAAATAGTTGGCCTTTATATCCACCCTTAAGCACAGTTCTTTCATGTAATTTTACATATCAAATGCAATTTTACAATTTTTCATTTAAAAATGTTCTTTTTTTGCACGTACAAATAATTTTGTGTCTCTTTACATCTTCCAAACAGTTTTCATAAAAAGTATTAGCTCGACTCAATCAAAGTACCTACCTCATTGTTCAGAAATATAAAGTACATCTGTATAAAGATGAACGCCATCCTGGTGGCCGGGGTGAGGGCGAGCATGATGTTGTGGCACTTGGTATTCCTTTCCAGCTCGAAATACTGTCCGAACTCAAGGCCCGAATAAATCATAGAGCCAATCCCGAAGGCTACGGCGCCCATCCGAAGATAGAAGCTACCGTAGTGCTGGGACGGTCTGATGGTGGACAAATGCGGACAGGTAGTGTCTGCCGTATCGCTGTCGCCCCCGGCGCCGCTCGACGACCGCGACGAGTCCAGGTCGCTAACTTCCTTCCGTTTCTCTTCTTATGTAAATTCACGGTAATCGCTCAGTAAAGATTTTTACGATTTTAAACAAAGCTAGTCGACTTGATCGAAACTCAACATCGAATGTTAAAACATGTAGACTTTCGTTCAGCCACGTGAAGTTTTTTTACTAACCATCGTTCAGCCACGTGGAGTTTTTTTACTGACCATCGATTCACGTTGAGCCACGTGAAGTTTTTTTACTAACCATCGTTCAGCCACGTGGAGTTTTTTTACTGACCATCGATTCACGTTGAGCCACGTGAAGTTTTTTTACTAACCATCGTTCAGCCACGTGGAGTTTTTTTACTGACCATCGATACGATTGACGTTTTAATGTATTTTGAGAAATTGGTTTAATGCGTTAAGAGATTAATTTCTATGAATTAATGATAATTCGCTTACTTGATTTCGGCTTGGTTTCGCGTAGTAACGTCGCGTACGTGTACACGAGGAAGATCATGCTGCCGAAGTACAGGTAAAGGTAGAATCCTTCGTAGAACGAAGGCGGTATGTAGGTTGATATAACTTCCGCCATGGGAAACGCGATTCCCATCACGACCAGCAGCTTTCCATACAACGCGCTGAATGTCGTCGCCAGGGCGTCGCTGTGGAACAATCGGAAATTGTACTACACCCAAGGAAATTGCGCTATTTCCGGAATTTTTCGGTTTTCTCGCGCCGCTCAGTTTTTCAGTACATTAAACGTAAGCAAATCATTGAAGTGAACGAAGTATACATTTTCCAGTTAAAACATGTAGACTTTCAAGACTTTCATGTTCAGCCACGTGAAGTTTTTTTACTAACCATCGTTCAGCCACGTGGAGTTTTTTTTACTAATCATCGTTCAGCCACGTGGAGTTTTTTTACTGACCATCGATATGAATATTTCGTCTATACACCAATTTATGAACGTATATTAGATAAGAAAGAAAATGAAAATGAGTTGTGATATCATTGATCGCAAATGTCAATCCACCCCCGTAAGAATTGGTTCAATTACGGGTAATCGTGTGCCACATGGGCATGCATGCGCGTGTATCACCCGTGTTTGATTCATAAAGTACCGGTAATTGCGGTGCAGACGTCGCGTCCGACAGGATAACACCGAGGATCACGTGAAATTCCCGTGACGGGCGGCACATATTCTCTCCCCTTCGCGTTAATTCGTTTTGAATAAAAATGAGTCAAGATGCAATCTTTCAATAGCGTATCAATGTTAAGCATGAACGTGACCCGATTTGCTTTCCGAGACGCGGCTTTTCAGATTAAAATCTTGCTTGTGCGATAAACGTTAACGATTTGGTTATCGTATTTTTAATATGTATTCCTTTGTATCATCAATGAAGGAAATGAATGCTTACTTTTTAATGTAAGTTCGAAAATTGAGAATCACTTTTTAGAACAGATCAAACGTAATCGATGTCGCCTACAACAGAATGAAAGTTAGACGAGGACAATGGGACTTACCATCCGAGCTTCTTCCACTTCCGATCCTCGACGACGTCCAAGAAGGTAGGTGCCGGATAGCAGACCGCGGCGATCGGTTGCGAGGAGCATGGCAGAGCCAGGGCGAACTGGGGTGGCCGATGGGCACGGGAGGGTGAGCTACTGCTGTGTCTAGACAGCGTTTCCGGTGAAACGATTACCGCGGACGGTGAAGCCGGTGACGGGAGCCCAGCCGGCAATCCTGGCCAGCTGAACACAGAACCATGTTTCCTCATTATTTCTGTCCCGTCCTTGGCCGATCGATTCATCGGTATCGACGGCTCAATTACGACAGGGAATAATTACGCGCTCGAAGGGGGAGGATGTCACCGGATTCAACTCTGTTACATCGCCAATAAACGATTCTTTCTGTGTCTCCTAGATCACTGAGGGATTATAATGCCTGGTTTATCCTCAAGGGTACTTTAACTCGTCGTGATTGCATGCTCAACTATTAAATTACCGTATCGTTACCAGATGAACGAATTATGATACTTCTTCGAATTATCTCGAGTGTGCACTTTAATCTGTAATAAACTCTCTCTATGAAAATGAGATACGCTTTTTCTATTTTCCACCCTGATCTCAGTTCATAGAACGTAAACCCTAGTTTTTAGAATCTTCTATCTTTTTCTTTCGGAAACTAGAATCAGAAAGAGGAAGCAGCCTGGCGATCAATAAATTCGTCTTAATTTACTCGGAAACCGCCCGAAGCTTATCAGTTCAGGAAGGAGTTACGTCGCCGCAACATGTTCCAGTATAATTCGTTTAAGCTAGTTTCTCCGATACGTCAAGTTGAACTTCTCTACCACTGACTGTCGTCGCGCGTCGATCGCGACTCGTTACACAATTTGCAAATGACCGAGAAAACTTTCCTGGAGGCTTTCCACTTGAGACCTATGATACGACGCAGAGAGTATCGTTACGACTGGCTCAAAGGCGAACTACAGAAGTAGTAATTAAGCGTGCGTCGTCGGGGGAAAAGATATTTTTCCGACCCGTTTTCCCGCTCGCAATTCACTTAATGAAACCGAGTCGACACGTTCTAAACTCTAGTATCTGTAATTACTTATTTTTCTCTTACACGCGCTGCAGGCGTCGGTAATTAAAATGGGCGTGACTTTTCGTATTCATCCTCGCAAATTTGTTTTCTCTCGCGAATATTCGCTAAAAAAAGGGGTGAAGAAGAAACGAGAACAATTAACACGTTGAAAACGATCAATGTCGAGCGCTGCTCCGTCGGGACAAAATTCTTGGCACGACAAATATACAAGACCTAATTGTAAACTACTTTTCATGTCCATTTTCATTAACGGAAACTATTCTAGTCCGTACTAAAATGATTTCGAATAGTGAATACATATACGCTTTTTCAATGAGTGCATGTAATTCTCGCTCGACTGTAATTTTTTATCAACAGTCTGAGGCTTAGGATACGTAAAAATTTCGATTGGTCAAACCAGATCATCGGAACTTAGGTGAAACAATTCTTTTGAAATGCAAGCATGGATCAGTGTACGTGCGAGCCGGCAATTAATGGGTTAATACGCGTCGCATTGACACTGGCTGCAGGAAGAGACCTACTACGGTGCGAGGTGTCGTTAATGCGACTTTCGAACCGCGGTGACCGTTTATCCAATGATAACTCCGACGGGCGGTCGAAACACGGCCGGGTCCCGTGTTCTCATACACGTGCCCAGGCGATTTCGCCTCCCGTTCTTCTCCGCCCCCGGAGTCTGCCCGGAGGAACGCGTCATGGTTACCATGGAATTTGCCGCAACAACTTCCGCGCCGAACGGGAAAGAGGCACGTAAATTATTTTCCACCGTCCACGACGATATTGCATCGAAATTTCAATTTATGCCGCCAGGTTCGATTTACCCCCCGTCACCCGGCGGAGACGAATTTCCCAGACGTACCAAGAATAAATCGTGGCACACTTAAAATACGACAGAAACGGTGATCGATCAAGAAGCAAATAGACGGAACTAGAGCAATTTGACATTTCAAATTTGATAAAGAGTAATCTGATTTTTTTTTATCGGGAACGGATCAATTTCTATTTCCGCGACTCATCTGGAATCGAACCAGGACTGGATTCCCATGTTAACTTTTTTAGCATCTGTCACGAGATGAACGATGCGCTTAAAAAATGTAGAATAGATGGAAACGATCGAGCATCATAAAGGGTGAAGTTTTACTCCTAACCCGACCCTTCTCCAAAAATATCTGCGACCGGGTGGATGGATGTTCCACGCGTTTAAGAAGATAAACGAGGCACCGCGTAAAGCGACCTACCCCTACGAGGCTCATAGTGGGTAGTAGCAAAAGGGACGTAGATAAGTTTCGTCCTTTTCACCGTGAAGATTGGAGGGTGGCTGCGCTCGCTCGCCAGCTCGCTTGCGCGCGCGCGATGCTACGTGAAAGGGAAACGAGGGTGGAAAGGGTGGCCGAGCGTGGATGGGACACGGCTCGTGTCTTGGCTTCGAGCTTTTTGAAATAATCACGTAGTGTTGGAGAAGCAGAAGAGCGCGCGAGTGCCGCCGAGAGGGTGAACGGGGGTGCGAGAGGGCACTGAGGGGTTGATTCAGTGGCTGAGTGCCGTTCCCTCATTGTGGCACGAGTGTATCCGTGGCTGAAGGACCTCGGGCTCTGGCTCACCCTTGTTTCGGTGGCTCCACTACTCCGTCACCCCTTCGGGATATCCCTTAGGAATCTATCTCGCGCCAGGTCCTCCTTCGTCTTCAATTCCTACGTGCTCGGACTCGCGCGACGAAAAAAACCACTGCCTGGTAGTTATTTCTCTGGCAAACTTTCGGTGTTAAACGTTTTTCATCCTTTTCCTTGCGGATGGAGCCAGGAGAGAATTTTTTTTATTATTATTACTATGGACTTTTCAGTCCGTCGAGGATTAAAGTTGAAATTCCTTCGCACCTTTTACTTCCTCCTACTTGCCTTATCCAATCGCATTCAACTAATCCTAATATACCGTCAAGAGATCTTTAAAAAGGATCAGCCTCCCATTCGTTTAAGTGGCTCGTGAAACGAACAATCACCGAGTGGGAGCTTCCACGATTAGCTATCTCTTCGAACTCGAACGCTTAATTTCCTGCCGCGAACTCTCGACTCGGATAACCCTGGGCACATCGATCGCGAATCCAGGAGACTAAAATTCCGGGTCCTAGCCCGCGGTACACGCGGAGTTTCGACTAGGACATTTCGGCGCGTTCCAACCCGCTCGGATTCGGAACTCCAGTCTCGTGGAAGAGCACGCGAGGCACCGCGTCCTCTGGTCGTCATGCCATCGGAAATCGTAGACTGTAGACGCGACGCGACACGACGCGTTGGTGTGCGTGAGCGATTCCAGGATTCCCAAGCAGTCGTCTGGGGCGAGAGAGGACGAGAAAGAGAGAATGGATCGATCCGCGGTCGCGACGAAACAGAATCGGTAGTACCTGAGGGAGGTCTCCTTTAAAAGCATATCCGCGACTTTGGCCAGTGGTCTCCTCGATGGAACGTTGGCGGTTGAACACGCACCAGCACCAGAGGATCAGTCACGGCCCGAACGCGGCTCGTGTCACCGGCACTACTCACGGACCCCGCATCGCAAACTGAGGCCCTACGCTATAATCTATCCTATCGCATCTGCTCTCCGTCCCTCTGTCTCTCTCTTTTCCCCGGGCATAGTCTCTATCTGGATACGCGACCGTTTGATAGCGAGCTCGTTACACGATTGAGACTTCGCAGTGGCGTAAAACGTTGTGCGAATAACCGAGCTCTTCGATCTTACGCTGTCCAGTTCTCTAGTTTTTAGGAATGATCACGAGACAGACCTCTCGCTCATTGGAAATCAGAAATTTCTGTTTTATTAGTATAACGAGAGAAGGGGAGAGGAGAAAGAGCATTTTCCTCCCACGGGCGAGTTTGGTTTAAAGGACTCGGTCGCCGAGTGCGCGTGTACCCTGATCAAATCTGCATCTAAATCGACGGAATAGGCCGGTCTCCCTGCTCCCTTGTCCTCTCCTTCGGTCCGGACGGTTCACCCGGGGTTCCGGTGAACCCGGGAATGGTGGAGCGAACGAGAGGAAGGGAGACAAACGAGGGAGGGACGGAGTGTGGAGGAGTCGGCCGAGAGGAGACACGCTCGGAAGCGAGATGGACACGAAGGTCGTGCATTGGCTATAACGAAATGACAGGTCAATATTAACTTTGGCGCCGTTTTGACCTCTGATGCAAATTTACCGATTCAGGTTTGATATCCGGCGGAAGTAATCGAGTTCGGGGAACCGATTGGAGGCGGTGGACCAGCAGCGTCTATCCACGAGACCCACGATCCCCGCAAATCGATGGAAATTGCTTTACGAACGGTCAACTCCTCGTGTACCGAAACGTGCAAACGCTACACACGCGTGGGACAACAATCATCGCGAGTGAAACATTGAATATGAATTGAATCTGTTCAAGACGGCGCCGTAGACGGCGTATATTGAATTACTACCGTCTGAAACGTGTAATTCAATATTTGTTCGGAAAAGCGACCGATATTGATTATAAAAAATACCATTAAAGCATGCATTACACGAATCTCATCCTCGTATACCCGTTTTCCAATCCCACAGCTTGTTGCATTTTCCGATAATCAATGATTGCGAATATCAGTTCCTACGACCGACCGTACACGAAACGAAACGACAAGCGCGACGAGCTTTGTCGAGTCGCCTTTGACGCCTCGTTTCGTTTCTTGGTGACAAGCCGGATTATCTGTTCGATGTGACAATTCCGTGGATTGAGGTCAGTGTTTCGCTTTGATGAAAAGCGCGCTTGGCCACGTTCTACCGAACTTCGCCCCTTTTCGGGCCGATGCGTCGAGCACCGGTGAACGACTTTGCTCAGCGATACTAGGAGAGCCAGTTCCCTTCCGGAGGTCGATCGGGACTCTCGAGTGGAAATTGATGGAGCGAAGCCCACGACGCGATACGATTTTTCACGATCAAGTTCAATCGTCGACGTGTGTAACGTACGCAGCGTACAAACCGGCGGTCTCCCTGGTCGGATGGACGCACGGAAGCCAAAGAGGGATGCGTCGTTAATCGCGGACAGTGACTAATGTCCCGCGGCCGGTGAATAGTGGCGGTGACCATTCGAACGAAGAGAGCGTGCGGTTGCTCACGGGGGGAGCAGCGGATAATTTACATCGTAACGTTGCGCGCCGAGCTGCAAAGCGAGAAATAATTACCGGAAATCGGCGTTAATATCCTAGATGAAAACATTTTCATTTTTCAACTGTTCCATCAGCCTGTTACCCGGAACATGAAGAAGATCGATTGCCAGTTTAGTAACCATTTTACTAAACAATCGTTTTGATACATGAAACTGGGAGGGCATCCATTTGGACCGATTAAGAAAGCAGATTCATTCTTTCGCGTGTCCCAACGACATGGTCTGATCGTGCTAACATTTTAGCTTCGTTCTCGCAATTACGAATGCAGACATGTTGGATATATTTTCCCTCCGTTTACCTGCCGTCTCCATTTATTTTTTTTTCTTGCGCACCCTGTCGCAGCAGAATTCTGTTTACCTACTTAACCACCCATTTTTTTTTTTCCTTCGTTCGAGACTCCCGCGCAATCTGTGGGGAACTCGTCTGAACGACGCGACGCGTGTATGGGGATCCGTTAATGGCTGGGAATATAGCTGAGAAGAAACGCGGGGGTGGCTTTAATCGTTGCCGGGTCATTCCTTCCGTTTTCTTCCTGGAGATCTTTCGAGTGGAAACGTTTTCACATCGACGCGGCGTCTTTTAATGACGCGCTCCGTCTATGGAAGGTGTAGACGTCTAGCGACATCGTTTACAAGGAAAAGAATGTCATTGAATATTCCTATCCGAAATGTTCAAGTTTTACAAATTTCAACGCGTAATTCTTTAGACGGGCGTATTTCACCGACTGTATTTAGAATTAAACGCTTGAAGAAGGGGAGGTTTGTGAAAAAAAATTCTAATTAAAGGCGAGGATACGAGAGGATTAAATTACCCTCGTGACGAGGGTATGTACGCAATTTTATCCCGCAGGATACTCACTCTTGCGAGGGGGCGAGGGCGGAGTGCTGCGGCGGTTTCTCCGATTCCGTGGTAAGTATGGGGCCCTCGGGTGTTCGCAGCGCGATCTCCATCGCCGCAGCCTCTTCCTCCTCGCGTAGCTCTTCTGAGGCCTCCTCCGGAATTGTGGTGATGTCCTCGAGCGGTGGCAGATCGTTCCCGTTCTCCTCCAGGTGGTTCTCCATCATCGGATCCGAGTTGTTGTCCCCCGGGCGCGTCACCTCCTCTATGTCCGAGTCGATACCCTGTTCGTATGAAACTTATATTTTGTGTCCCATATTACAAATTGATATCGTAGAAATCTTTGATGGACGTCAGTGTCAAAAGAAAATTCTTCTCGTCTTTGTGAAATACATAAAGACATATCGACTGAAATTTTCATGCAATGAATATTCTATGAAACACTGCATAGAACCTTCGGAAACAGGCCTGTATCGGTGAAGAAGTAAGCTCGTTAAATTTTAATCCCGTCTAGTCTATTCCTTACAAGCTATCAGTCAATCGGAGAGAGCGAATGCTAACGAAAAGGCTTTTCCGCCGTCAAGGAAGCATCGGACGCTTGTTAATACAAATTTTCCGATTTCCTTATCCGAGGACGAGCTATATCGGTTATCCGTCGAGGATTACCGAGGATCTTGGGCTTGGTACCTGAGCAAAGTCCATGTAAAAGGAATCCCTCGAGTCGGAGCTGCCTCGGCGAAGCCGGAGGCTGAGATCCGGCGAGCTCTCTCCCATCTTTCTTATCAGCTCTCTCTCTCTCCTCTGCCTCCTCTTCCTTCCTGTCTCCTACCCTTCTTCCCTTGTGTGCCTCTCCCTTCTACGCTTCTTCTCCGCCACCCCTACTGCCACCAACCCCCTTTGTCTTTTACGAGCTTCTTGCTCCACGGACGGGGAATTCTAAAGAGGGTGGCCCTGCACACACAATCCAGTGAGTTTGCAGCCTGAAAGAATTGTCCTTGAATGACTGATCGTCGTCTCGTTCTACCGTCTTCCCGCGCTTTTCTCCTACCGCTTCCTTGCCTCCCTCGTTCTCACTTCTCAATATCATTTCGCGGAACGAGCACGAACGAGATGACAAGAGTTCGTTGACGCGATGCGAAACAAAAATGCCCCGGTGAAAGGAGGAGAACCCCGCGAGGAGAGCCGGACGGGGTGAACCGAGTACTCGTACGTGAGACCGTGAATGCCGAGCGCGGATCTCCGCATATCAAACGTCCGCGCGAATTAAAATTTCAACCCCGTCCGTCCGTGCTAGTTTCGCATCGCGTCGACAATGTAACTCAGGAACAACGACCACCCGGCTGGAAAAATTCCTACCGACTGTTTAACGCTCAACGAACGGAAACGCTCAGGACTTTACGCATCCGAAGGGTTGAACGAACACGCTTACGTCCAATGCTCATTAGAAAAGAATGCTCAGAGTAGAATGTGCATTTTGTTTCATGTTTGTAATCAATTTTCGAGTGTGAATGTTCAATGCGATGGGATGTGAAATTATGTGTTACTGATAAGTGCGTAAGAATTTAGTTTAAATGTTGACGAGATTTCGAGCTCTGGTTCAAAGACGTGAGCATTCGTCTGCTACAGTGTACTGATCGATCACTCGGCGGGTTCGAAAAGGGGCAGACTTTGAGATCGCGTACAGGTAGGCGCTGCCGGATTCGGTTACGTCGAAACTAATTACGGAAGCTAGGAAATTCAATCGAGTCACTCGTTTGTCTTCGAGTTAATTGCCTTAGCCGCGATTCCGGGCCGGGTAGCTTTAATTAAAACTAGGAAATGTCGGTCTCGCGGCTCCCCACGGGAAAGGCGAGACGCGCGGAAAAATCTCGTTCGCGCGAACGAGCTTCTCCTCTATCCGTCGTCGTTTAATTAAGTTCGACCCGATCGGAATAAAACAAGGGGAGAATCGGGAGAACGGCTTAGAACTTATATACTCTATCTAAGTCCTGTCGTTTCCAAGTCTAAGGAGTCGGCTTAATGCTTTCCGTCGACGTAATTCGCCGAAGTAACGAGATATTCCTCGATGGAAGCTCCTCGGACACGTTCGCTAGGTACTGTCGCTTTTCTTCCCCGTACACCTTTCAAGTGCACGAAACCCTCTACCTATTCCCCTTTCGTTTGAACTCGATTCTCCAGAGACTCGTGCTTCCTGCACCCAGCCAAATCAACGAAAGTTCTATCATGAATTCTATATTTGTTATTGACAATATCGAATTTTCGTTCTCCAAATTCTCCCCTTGAGAAGATGCCTTCGTCGCGTTCTCCGCAATTAATGCGCGGATAAGAAGTTTCCGCGTACGAATTTCAAGCACTGTTACCGCGTTAACTAGCGGCACCAAGTTTCTTCCGGAACTTCGTCCGCCGCGGAGCTCTGCGTAATGAAAAGCTGGTTTGCAAGTGAAATTGCGTGCGTACCTTCGGAGAACATTTGTCTTCCTTGCGCGCTATTCGCGGTCCAATGAGACGCCTCTTGGCCGGGACCTCGTCAGTCTGTGCATCAATGAACATTCTTTCTGTTCGGAGTCAGCCACCGAACGCCATGCCTGTGTGTGGACCCTTGGCGGAACGTTTTTATGACCAGCGAGCGCCCCGTCGAATATTTCTCCATTAAACGGCTCCCCGTGCACGTTACGGCATTACTATGGGGCCGTCCGAGAGATAACGTGGGGTAAGATGCTGTTATATTTTTTTCTCCTTGCCTCTCTTGGGACAAGTCGAATACACAATTGGGAAGATGGCGGAAAATCGAAAAAACACGGTTAATAATTAATAAACAATTTCTAGTATTTGCCATCTTACCAATTCTGTATTACGTCGATTTCTTTTTCTTAAATTTCAGTAATAAGGAAATAATGATCATGAAGACTCAAGAATAATTAGAAGAACAGTTACTCTTGTTATTATCTCAAGGAAGGAACAGGTAGTGAAATCGATATGAAATGGTGCTATAGATAGGTATGACCCAGCGATGCGTTACAACGATTTTCCGTCAGTCGTATCGCGTGCCGGGAAACCCGGGTATTTTCATTCGACAGTTCATTGGCTTTCTCGCATCGATAGCCATTTCAATGGTTTATATCTAATGCGCGTTTCGATAAACGAGGGGTGCACGCGATGCGACTCGCCGGCAAACGCTCACCACGTTTATCGCACCGCTGTCAATAATAATGTGCTTAATTAGGTCGAGATTTCATCGAGTTCGTCGATCTGACGAATATTCTATACGAAAATTCTACACGAATATGGACTAAATTTTTCTGATACATATTCTGGTAATTTAACTGTTGCCAGTTTTATGACAAACGTGCATACGAAATTTTATAAGCAGACAGTGTTAATTACGTTCAAGAATTTCTTATAATTATTATTACGCAGGAATGGACGTTGCTTGATTTAGAAAGGGAAAAATTCGGGGCAGGCAATCCACTTACGGTGCTTATGTCTCACACGATCGGATGTTCGCCACGCAGCGTATCCTCATCCCCCTTGTGTCGAATCGTTTTCACTTTCATCCAGCGGCTCGTACACCCTCCTGCTCTCCCACGCGGACATCCGATCGCGCCGGTGGACCCCGTCAGCTAGCCACCGGTATTCGGAACCTTCGCGGTTCCATGGCAGGCCGCGAGACGGTGTCGAACCACCACAAAACTACCACCCCATACACCACCGGCACACGCGGAACACCGAGCCACTGATCCTACCGAAAAAGGATTCTCGCCGTTGAATCAGGTTTGCATCCGAGTACCGATCAGTATCGAGGGACCACCACCGCCACTGATTACGCGCGCTTCATCGCACGTCCTCTCGCGATAACAGTCGTGCGAGCATAGAATCTCGTAGCCTTCCGGGTAACGAAATCGTGCCTCGGCTGACCGGAACTTGTTGATGCGACCTTGTTACGCTCGCGATCGCGAGCGTGTTCGAAGGGTTCGCGGGTTCAGGGACGACGTACTACGATCAATCGCGGCGCGAGAGGACACTCTCCGGCACCCCCCGAAGGGCGCGCCACGCGAGCCATCGACATCCTGCTGCCAGAGCCGCCGGGCTGCTGCGATGACCCGGGCGTTCCGAGCACACGGCGCCTGCGACGACGCCGTCACCCACCCGTCCCACGACATTGCACCCACGCCAGGACCGTACCTACCCTTCATAGTTTCATTCCACCCTTACCTATTATGTGGCTGTATCTAACGATTTATCTTCACCCCTTCAAGGGATAAAGAGTAATTAACAGATTGACGATTATATGCGTTCACGAGAAAATGTGTACCGAATGTAAACGGTGATAGTATACGAAATATAAAAAACAGTAACTGATAAATCCATTTTAAATGCATTTGTTTTATTTTACATAAGAAGCTGGAGTTTAATAATTTGCAAAAACTGATCAGGGGTATCTGCCATATCAATTACCTATTTGCATGTGCTTAATTAGGTCGAGATTTCATCGAGTTCGTCGATCTGACGAATATTCTATACGAAAATTCTACATATGAATATGGACTTAATTCTTCTGATACATATTCTGATAATTGAACTGTTGCCAGTTTTATGACAAACGTGCATACGAAATTTTATAAGCAGACAGTGTTAATTACGTTCAAGAATTTCTTATAATTATTATTACGCAGGAATGGACGTTGCTTGATTTAGAAAGGGAAAAATTCGGGGCAGGCAATCCACTTACGGTGCTTATGTCTCACACGATCGGATGTTCGCCACGCAGCGTATCCTCATCCCCCTTGTGTCGAATCGTTTTCACTTTCATCCAGCGGCTCGTACACCCTCCTGCTCTCCCACGCGGACATCCGATCGCGCCGGTGGACCCCGTCAGCTAGCCACCGGTATTCGGAACCTTCGCGGTTCCATGGCAGGCCGCGAGACGGTGTCGAACCACCACAAAACTACCACCCCATACACCACCGGCACACGCGGAACACCGAGCCACTGATCCTACCGAAAAAGGATTCTCGCCGTTGAATCAGGTTTGCATCCGAGTACCGATCAGTATCGAGGGACCACCACCGCCACTGATTACGCGCGCTTCATCGCACGTCCTCTCGCGATAACAGTCGTGCGAGCATAGAATCTCGTAGCCTTCCGGGTAACGAAATCGTGCCTCGGCTGACCGGAACTTGTTGATGCGACCTTGTTACGCTCGCGATCGCGAGCGTGTTCGAAGGGTTCGCGGGTTCAGGGACGACGTACTACGATCAATCGCGGCGCGAGAGGACACTCTCCGGCACCCCCCGAAGGGCGCGCCACGCGAGCCATCGACATCCTGCTGCCAGAGCCGCCGGGCTGCTGCGATGACCCGGGCGTTCCGAGCACACGGCGCCTGCGACGACGCCGTCACCCACCCGTCCCACGACATTGCACCCACGCCAGGACCGTACCTACCCTTCATAGTTTCATTCCACCCTTACCTATTATGTGGCTGTATCTAACGATTTATCTTCACCCCTTCAAGGGATAAAGAGTAATTAACAGATTGACGATTATATGCGTTCACGAGAAAATGTGTACCGAATGTAAACGGTGATAGTATACGAAATATAAAAAACAGTAACTGATAAATCCATTTTAAATGCATTTGTTTTATTTTACATAAGAAGCTGGAGTTTAATAATTTGCAAAAACTGATCAGGGGTATCTGCCATATCAATTACCTATTTGCTATGTAATCATGCTTAATACTTTTAGGGTTTGTTCAGACTCGTATCTATTCACAGATTGAATTTGTCTCCGATGATTTCTTAGAATCCTTTGAACTTCAAAATTGCAATCAGCGACTATCATATATCTGTCCTGTCTTCGTCCGGTTGTAATACAAAGAAAAATAGCTCAATTCATCTTTTTGTATTTTAAGCTATAAAATAAATGAAAGGATTCGAAAAAACACTGTGTATGCTTTTTATTCTCTCGTAGTGAAAATTAAATATAAGCGTGTGACCTTGTCATTCGTTGATGAGCGATCGATAATGATTATGAAGAGTGCAATGGATAATTGAACTGCAAAATTTAATCTTCCATCTCCGTATCTAATTTAACTTCTGATCTTTTATTCCCAATTTGAAACAATTAATTAGCCGTTTGATTTAGACTTCGACCTTGCGCCGGGTTTTATTCGGACTAGTCACAGGGTATTGGAGAAAAAAGAATATGATAGAGCATGCGCTCGGAGCTGGGAAACCAGTGTCCCGAAATGAGCTTCTCGGAAGCTTGCGAATGGGAAAAGCGTAATGCATTTAATGGCCCGGAAGAGACTGAATGCCCGATAGATTGTTTCCATAATTTTGTCCGAATTGCAAATGAAATATCTATTACACTCAACGGTGGAATTCAATGGAATCATTTCTTGCGAGGGAAGAAATACGAGACGTGGCATTCAATCGTTGCACTTGGGTCTGTGATTACGGATTTAAATCAATTTTCATTTATTTACGTGCTAGAATTATTTTATTCCTTTTTCATAGAATGTATAGTACAAGATATATATAGGAGTTAAAATTATGCTCGTCGCTCGAGACATACAAACTATATTGGTATGACTTTTCTTTTTGGTAATAGTAAAAATAATATAAGCGTTACATGTTTTCATATTTATATCTACACATTACCTAACAATATATTCTTTTCATTTTTTGTTTCGCTGAAGTGATCGTCCCTCCATCAGTCGTTTGTACGTGTAGCGAAACGAGGAAATAAAATCTGCACCATAGGTGGCTGTTCAGTTTTTTATCGCTTGCGATTAGAATCCTATCACATGTTCGAGATACGACGCGTTGTATCTCTAATAAAACGAATTAATTACCGACGCACTTTGGCCAAGCCAGTCCTCCACAAGATATCGATACGATAACGTATATTACAACCTAAGGAGGTTTAAAAGAATGTTTTTTTTTTAATCCAATCGGTACAGTTTGCGTTCAGTGAAATGAAACATGGCACGGCAACTTACGATCAGTATAGCACCAATAATTACGTAGATTTTTACGTTTTTCCAGAATAACGAGCGCGCCAAATTTCTACTAGTTTTCCTAAATGTAACCGACTGAAAATAGACGAAGGAATTTGTTTTTATTGTTTCACAACACAGACTCTATGTACGTGGATAAATTATACTCACGTTGGCAGATAAGTTTTCAGTCTTGTATACGAGGAGTTCTAACCGTTCACCGCGCATCGCGACGATATCGATATTTTTGCTCATTATGTCTTTCAAATCGTCGAGGTCGCCCATAACGCTAGCCAGCACATCGATCTCCTTATTCGATTCGCTGTAATGTTTCTAAACGCAAAATTACACGCGTTATGAAAATATGAAGGAACATGATTTGAACCGCGTTTCGATTTTATTACCATTGTACTAGCTAAAGTTCTGGCGAAATCCGTGTTCATTGAGTACGCAACTGCGGTTTGCGCATCTTGGCCATACGCTGCCAAGAATCGTCTTTTCATTTCCGCAAGGTACAAGAACGCTTTGGATTTTTGAAAGTCCTGTAAAATAGACATGTGCATCGATAAATATTTAAAAAATACTTTTTCTGTCACTTGGTCACTTACATCGTCCGTGATGCACATGTAAATAATGTTGTCCTCGCAGATGTAGTGAAATAAATATTTCCCTTGGGTATACGTGAGTTTGTCATCTTGCGGTGGTATTTTGGTCAGTATATTCTCTGTTACCTCATCAAAGTTTCCACTACAAGCAGCATACTTCGCTAATATCGTTGTCCCCCGAGCCACCACGCTGTATAAAATCGGCATGATGAATGCTATAAAAACATGTTCAGAGGCATTAACTTGCAGGCTTAAGGATTAACTGTGAAGTCAGTTACCCATAGGAATCTGCTTAGCAGATAAAATTTTGTTTGCAACAGAATCCTCTTATCTGTTATCATAATGAGCAATACGTATTGAAAACAAGAATGTTTGTAGGAGGCCTGAAAATGTATGTGTAAGAGAAGTGTCTTGAAACGAGGTTGGTGACAGTTAGGAAAAATAGGGTATGCGTCGAGTTCACGATGGAATAATAAAAAGATGAGACGCATATGATCATAAAGTAAAGCGTCATAGATTCTAACCTCTAAATAGAAATCGAAACTCTTTGTTTTCGCCTGTGATTAAACTGTCACAAGAAATAGCGAATAATTCGTGTCAAATGATGTCCAAACTTTGTCTGATAAACAATCAAATATTTATGCGACCTACCTCAAGCTTTGGGTGGTACGATTTGATTATGTACTTTTTCAACAGCGATTTCCAGAACACTGCAATTTTTTTTGTAATCACAAATAACAGGATTTATTAACAAGTTGGTTACTGCTTCGACACTTTAAAGGATTCAAAACAGAACCCGTTTATCCGTTGACAACTGTCTGCGTCTGCCTGTCTAGCTATAAGTATAGTATAGTGACGGTGACCAAGCAGAGATAAACTTCACTCCCACTTTCATACCTTGATGATGTCAGTGGGGACTGCTTTGAAAATATACCGCGCGATGTGTTTAAAAGACCACATTTATTCCATTCCTTATTTCCTTTTTTAGAAATCAAGTAATAAACAATTAAATTAGAAATAACGAATAGTTACTCATTTCCCGAAACTGAGTATTACGATTTAGTAGCATTTGTCAAAATTAAGGAAATGCCAGAATGTTTTATGTTCCATTCTGCAATTCCAGTTTTTAATGAATATTTAATTGTATACACAAAATTTACACGTGGAAATAAAAAGAAGCATCAGGAATAGACAAAGTGTAACACAATTAAAACTTACATAAATTATGACACAAGTGGTCGATACGTATTTTTAATCATTCCTTACAACTTCATTATATCTTCAATCATTTCCTGCATATTTAATTAATATAGACTGTAGATTTTTGTACAAAATAAACTATGTATGAAAGTTTAAAAAATGTGTTTTGAATAAAAATTCCTATCTTTTAAGCATCGCACTATGCACTTTGGATTTAGTGTCCTTATCAATATTTTTCGTACATGCAGTTCCCTCATAAATGCATAAAATCCGAAGTCTATTAATTATTTACTCAGATACGTGAATAAAAGAGTATCCAGGAAAATATATTTTCACCTAGATTGCATTTTGGTCACATAGTTTTTCATGAAAGCTGCAAAAGTTCTGAAACGCGCATTGATTCCGCGAAGCGCATGCCACTAGCCGTAGAAAGCGGCTGCGTATCAGTTTAGTGGTTTGACCAGCTGGGGTACTGTTCGATGGCTGCTTCTCACACGTGTCCGCGTGCCGAGCGAGCACTGCAGCACCGTTTACTACAATGGAGAAGAGAGATAGCAAGAACGTAAGCGTGGGTCGTGGATAGATAACGGTGTCTGAAGAAGAGACGCGGTCGCGTGCCCGCATCAGGCTCAGTCCGTCGCCGACCGGCCGACGCACGACCGCTTATTTCGGAGTCACTCATCGTCTCGCCGTGCTCGTTCTACGCTCGCTGCGGCCCTGCCAATGCTGCTGGGTAAATATAATTTATCGTCTCGTTCCTACTGCGACTTCTATGCAATTTGCTGAACGCGTTGGACTTCGGCATTTCCCGTCGAAGAATATTCGTCGCCGGTCGTTAGAGACGTCTGTTAAAATTAACGACGATGCTCGGAGAGAATTCCTACAGGTTTCCTCTTTCGTGGCCTCGATCGTGAACTGGTTGCGAGGAAAAACAGGTGGAACTGTGACAAGTGTGAGAGCACGCGGGTCAGTTGAATGGAAAACTTCTCACAGTTTTCCAATGTTCGTGTCGGGTATTTTAAAGAACGTTTTCGAGGCTTATACTGAACGCAAACTTGTTTCATTTGATAAGAAGTTATTCTTGGCATGAACGTTTTTAACTTGATAGTTCATGAAGCATGTTTACGAAATTATGTAACCTTTAGGCTAAAGTACGATATATATTCAAGGCTACCGATTTAGTTTCGTTAAAGTCAACTCGAGTGTTAATTTGGTAGATGTTGCGTTACGGAGCAACGCCCTTGGTATTGATCTCACAGGGAAAGGTTTGTCTCCCTCGTGTGATTTCCCTTCTTTCCCTACGCGAAAACGTTCAATCGATAACATTGAGTGAAATGCCACAAGTCACTTTATTGTAGGTAGAACGTACGGAAAATGACCCTGAACATTGAAAAATTGATATTAGACGTGCATATATACAGATACAATATATAGATTGAATCGACAAGATTCGTCATAGAAAATAAATTAATACTAAAAGTACTACTTAAAAGTACTGATTTTGATTTTTTAGAATGCAAGAATTCATTTATCCATTAAACTTTATCAAATTCGAGATAAGACAGTGAAATTCAGGGGCTATTAGTTCGTTTCTTCTTGTTGATTCTGGATGTAATCATCTCGTGCTCCTACTTCTACAACGTGAGAGGAGATTTAATGCTTGTTTGTAATCAGATTACATCACCAGAAGGCTACTGCGTTTGTCAAGATTTCTCGGTAGCTGAATATCATAAAATTATCGGGGAATTCGATTGTCGCTAGTAACGGAAGTGCAAATGTGGGGTGTGACAGGTATAACGTGCGGATTTTCGAAAGTGCACGGAGCCTCTTTAGCCTACTTTCCCGTGACGCCGGTATCGAACGACACTACCGGAAATTTCAGCACGAGACGAATTGTGCAAGTCGTCTAACGTACGTAGTGTCGTATCTCGTTACTTTATGCGTTCCGATTTCTCGTTCTGCAAGAAAGGATGTGATTTCGAATTTCAGCAATCTATAAATAAATCCAGTAATTTCATCTCTCCGGTCCGTCGACGAGAACGCCCGTGTACCGTTAATACGCTTCGTGCACGTCGATCCTCGATGATTTGCATTGTACGATATGCACTTTTTCATTAAGTTACAGAGTCCAGTACGTTAATGCGGACTGAACAGGTGACCGATTCGCTTATTGGAGAAAAGCCTCGCGTACGCAGTCGAGCCACATTTCTGATGATTTGCAAATCGATTCTTGATCACGCGTCGTTTCATGATCGTCTGCCTGATGGATCTGAAGCATGTAACAGCAAAAAAGTTTACGCTCTGATTGCCGCGAGTTTAGGTAGTGACGAAAGGATCGCGCGTTCCGTTCACGAACTCGCCTGGGGTCTTTTGTCCCTGTTCTTCCCCGAAGCATTTGCATCTCCGTTAATTTGCATTGCAAAATACCGCCTTGTTCGCACGTTCAATGTTCTCTTGACGTCTTCTCTAAAGCATGCGATTAAGGGCCTCAAATATGTCCGTAAAAAGGAAGTCGGATGCACAGTCTAATTCAATGCTAAGAGATTTATGAATCCGGATAATCATATGCAGCTATTTCTTATAATTAAATCATTAAAAGTATATAAGGTGTCCGCCGAAACATACGTCTTTTATTTCCTAACTTATGATGGATTGACGAAAGTTTTTGTATGGAATATCCACGGTTCAAGGGGTTGCATATTTTTTTGCATCATTTGATAAAGCTTTCAACGACGATTAATTCATTCTCCCAAGATTTGAATATTAATTTAGTTCACAATTTTTTATTAAATCGCCTCGTATATATTATATTACTCAGACAGGACGAGGCTGACTTACGTATCAGCGGCCGCGGTTGGCGCTGGTACGGTGGTCGTGTTCTTTTGGTGGTGGTGGACCAAGAGGCAGAAGAATCGACCACCCTCGGAATGGCGGAAGGTAGGCGAGCTGAGCGACCTGGTCGCCTATCCGGTCAAGTCTCTCGGACCCATTCGACTAAACTCGATGGAGTGCACGAAGCTCGGCTTGAGATCTGGTTGGCTCAGGGATCGAACTTTGATGGTCATTGATCTGAACGGACATTTCGTCACCGCTAGACAGTATCCGAGAATGGTCCTAGTACGTATATATTCTGAAGTGATGTTCGAATATTTGTAGTTTATTAAGGATGTATTGGCTATACAGTC